TCCCTGTTTTGGAAACCCTCATTTAATTTATACTTGTTTGGAGGGTAAAAAAAAATGAAGTGAGTCAAAACTCTCATTTCCTAATACTACTACTAGGATTAGGGTTAGTGTTAGGGTTTAGGGTTAGGGTTAGGAATAGGGTTAGTTCTTTATTAGCAACCATGACAAATGTGGAGGTAGATATATAAACTGCACTGGGTAGTAACCATTTCCCAATTCACATCACCGTCAATCTTACTATACAATCGCCACCTCCTCAAAAATACCCAGAATGAGATTGGATAAAGCCGAATGCACACATTCAGCTCCTACCTTAAATAAATATATCAGAGTTGTTGGATGAAGACATTATCAGATATTGCTAAAATATTTTAGAAGCTATAAACGAGGCTGATATAAATAACATCCTCAAAACAGGAAAAGAGAACAATTTGTTTTAATATTGCCCATTCCATGGTAGAATAATGACTGAAGAACATATCAAAGAAAAGAAGGAAGCCCTAAACAACTTTTGGCACACAGGGCTATCAACATATTATATTGAATCTAAAGCCAAGGAAAAACATGCAAAGCTAGTTATTCTACAAGCAAACGAAGAATCGTGGCAAACATACTGCTCCACCCTTGATACTTAAGCAATGCAGTTCTAAGCAGGATTGGAGAAAAGTAAAAGCCATGAGAGGCAACAATGGTAACAGGATACCCAGCATCAAAGGAGTGATAACCAACAAAGATAAAAACAAACAACAGGCAAAATTAGCAGCAATTCCAACTATTCCAGGTAAACCGAGCAATAGTAGAAAGTAGGTATCCTCGTCTGTTTACTGACAGGGATCCCAAATATTCCCCTTTTAATGCAGATTCTTCCGTTGATGAATGGAAAATATCTATTAGGGACAAAAAACAATCCACCTCTCCAGGAGAAGATAACTTAGGATACAAATTTTACAAAAACATCCCTCCCAATATCGAGGAAATTGTGCTTGACATGATAAATAAATCTTGGAAGACAGGACTAATAACTAAAAATGGAAACAAGCCATAGCCATCTCAATCCCAAAAGCCGGTAAAGACCCAACCGAACTAATATCTTACAGACCAATTTCACTCACCGACATTATTTCTAAGGTGATAGAAACAACGATTGACAAAAGACTCAAACACCACATTGAAAGTAATAACCTTATATCAAAGAACCAAAGTGGCTTCTGTAACAAAAGGTCCACATTGTTTCAGCTAGCAAGGCTTGAGTCGCGCGTTAAACTAGCATTTAACGCTAAAAGAAATGCGATGGACATCTCATAGCGATTTTTCTAGACCTTGAGAAAGCCTTTGATCTGGTTTGGACCGATGATTTTTTCGCTAAGCTTAACCATTATGGGATCCATGGATACATGCACAAATGTATTCACAATTTTCTGAAAGGAAGACAAATCAGAACCAAAATAAGGGACCAATATTCAGAAAGCCACGAACAAGAAAATGGTACCCTTCAAGGAAGTGTGCTAAGCCCAACTCACTTTAACATCATGATCAGCTTCCCTGAACACGCAGTCTATCTTACAAAAATCGACTTATCACAGTTTGCTGATGACAGTGGCATATGGAAAACGGGTAACCCATCCATCCACCAGCTAATCCCTGATCTACAAACCAATCTAACAAATATTGGTAAATGGGCTGACAAATGCTGGTTGAAACAATCAAGAAAGGAAAACAACTAGATTCTTATTCTCCCCCAAGGCCAGATACATGATGGAACCTCTCAAGGTGTATATACAAGAAGAACGAATTATATTTGGAAAAGTAGCTAAATTTTTGGGTATGTATTTTGATCAACAGCTCACATGGAAACACCACATCAACGAATTAATACGCAAATGTAATAGTGACCTAAACCTCCTCAAAAACATCAAGTGATTAAAGTGGGGAGCCGATCAAGACACACTTGTGACTCTTTATAGAGCCCTAATGAAATCAAACTGGACTACTGGTGTCAAGTCTATGCCTCAGCCAAACCGATCCTACTTATAATCCAAACCAAAGCATTATGTATATGTACCCTTAACAACACTTTTTTTAAGGACTTAAGATCCTTACAGGCGAACCATAACTAACACCGAGATGAGAAGAACTTACAATAAAATACGCAGCTATAAACTCAGTTCATGACCCTAACCATCCAACAAGAGATATCATCAAAAAATGCAATATTCCGTTTAGCTAGAGACTCGTTCCCTTCCTACCCTCAGGAAAAAAGTTCAAATTTGATACAGAAGAAACTTAATATTAACTGCCTTTAATCAGGCCAATACAACACCCAGATCCTACACCATAGACAGGCAAGAATCCAAATATAATCTTTCTAGCAACATCCTTTGGCTCCAAGCAGAACCAACCGTTGGAGATAAGATCATAAATATTAACAATTATTGACAATTCCTATAAAGAATGTGTCAAAATATACACACATGGATCGAAAAAAAACCAAAAACGGATAGAACTGCAAACTGCAGCAGCCATAACTATCCCGGAATTAGATAATGAATTAGGAAAAATATTCCCTGATGATTGCACTATATACATAGATGAATTCTGGGCCAAAATGGAAGCACTAAAATTGGCAAACCAACAGAGATTCTATGAAACGCGGATAATTATCGACTCACTCAGCTTTTAAAAATCATTAGCAACTGGAAACTCAAAGGGGCGAGAAAACCTCCTGAAAAATAACAAAATTGCTTCTAAAAACATGATAAAACAAGATTTAATTGTGGAAGTTATGTGGGTGATTTCATATCCCGTACGAAATTTTTAGGCATATTACGCCTGGAGTTTGGATGGATTCAGGGTGGATTCCGCCTAAAAACACCAAATTTTAGACAGACTTTAGACGGACTGGGAATACAGCTAAGGTGACAAACTAAATCCGTCTAATAGTTAATCGTATATTATTATATTCTTCCTAAAGGATAACTGTTAGACGGAAAAGTTCTGCTTCTTCAGTTAATTTTCCTACTTTAAGATGGATTTTGGACTTAGACTGATTTTGACAGAAATGTTAGGCGTAATTTTGAACTTTATCAAAAGAACTACATTAGCATAGAATCTTTGGACTTAGAAAATTTTGTGCAAGGTGAATTTAGGACTTGATCTCTGAAAAATAAGTTTCTTTTACTTTCTTTTATTAAAATATGCTCTACAACAATCATACCCTAGTGAAAATGTGACTAAAATTTTTAGCAAACTCAGAGTAAATTTTTTTTTGATATTCACTCCAATGTCTTTTCTGCATTAGAATTATTATATTTTAGATTTTATGAAAATTTCAGAAAATATTAGTCTAATTTTGTCAATGAAAATTAACTGACTGCCAACATTTCCAAAAATATCAATACGAAATTGTGACTGACAAATCACTGATACGATGCCAAAAATTCTGAAAATGTAGCGATATTTTGTGATTGTAATATCACTGACATTTCACTAAAAATATCACTAAGATATAATAAAATGTTTTTTTTTTTCATGTACAATTTGAATGATTTTCAGCAACATTTATATTTCCTGCTTCTGATAGCTGCAATTGTATTGTTCATTTTGGGAATAGTAACTTCTTTCCAAATGTTTCCTTGTATTTTTGTAAAAATTGTTGTATTTTTGTTTAATTTCAGTTGGATTAAACTTTCCTCAAAAAACGATTGTTTTCGTGGATTTTTTTGTTTTAAAGCAGTTTCGTGTTTCTCCTGACCTGAATCTGATTTTCTTCGATATGGACCCTTTTTTAAATATCGTCTCCAAAACCGTTTGTTTTGTTTTTCTTTTTAATGCATTATCCGGTCGCATTCCACAACGAACTTTCTATTACGTATTTGCTCCGTATATTACGTAACAGATGATCGCAATAAAGAACTGTTTGATTTGATAGAAGTTTGTAGTAGCCCAATGAATCGTCGCATAACGTTAACTTAATTTAATGAGCATGTATGCTAAACATGGCGATTCGAATTTTCGAGCGGGATACGAGTTGAATAACCATTTGAAAATGTGCGTCAATGAAAATACTGTAGCTTGAAGCAAAGTTGATGGGAACGTAACTGGTCAATTTGTATGAAAACTGAACGGCAGGACCAGCATTTGGGATTTTGCGCCATTAAGAGCTTGACAGTAGCAGCTAGCATGCTAAATATGATAAGGAATTGAACCAGGATGATCATTTCGAGGTTTTATAACTCAAACCAGAATTTGAGGAGAGACAACATGTAGATCACTGGGATGAATTGTTTATATTGTTGCCAGATAACCCGAAGTCGTATCTTTGAGTTTTCTTGGCCCACAAATAGAATCATCCTTCAAATTGTTTATATTATCAAAATATTCTAGTTGTTCTAGAATTAAGTGTAAAATAAGAGTAATTATATCAAGATAAACGTGTCACCACTGCTTATGAAACATGGACTAAATCTATAGATCACAACATAATAGTCATTAATAAAAAATCAAGTCTGCAGTACTACAGTGATATAAGGCAGGCTCCTTGCATTTCTTTTCTTAATCAATGTCATTTTGCATCATTTTCACAGTTGAATTTTTCAATGCAAGATAATATGTTCTATTTTATATATGTTTATGTGTTCACAGATGCCTTTTCATATGTTCAGGCTTGATAATTTGATTTTTAAAATCATTTAATGCATTTAATTTTTTATTGTCTTGCCAGATTCTTCACATCATGTTGTATATAATACTGTACATAATATATTGTGCAAAACATGTCTCAAGGTAGATAAATTCTGTAACTAAGCGAGTTACCTTCTTTACATGAAGTCTTTATTATTATTATTATTATTATTATTATTATTATTATTATTATTATTATTATTATAACTCCCATATCTCTTGCCTTGGATGTCATATAATTACGTCTGAATAATTTTGTTTCATGTACACTGAAATATCATGTTGATCAATAAAGTCCTGTTTAATTCATATCCAGTACCGCTCTGGTAGTCTAGTGGTTAGAGCATCTGCCTCGGATGTGGGAGGTTGTGGGTTCGAACCCTGGCTGAGACATATAAAAAATTATCAAAATGATACCAACAGCTGTCTCTCTTAGCGCAAAGCATTAAGAGGTTTGTGTTAGGACTGGTTGGCCTGGAGTCTGGATAATGTGATTGGGTGGGACATCATGCTACATGCCTGCTGCATGATGCCCCTGTGCTAGACATCACTATAAACTGTCACACTACAGACATCCGAGCAATAGGGTCAAAACATTGCTAGAGCTATGTTTTAATTCCAAATCACACACAATTCATATCCATTATTCATTTGAAACCTTTTGAAATGTCTGAAAAATTCCTGGAACTTCAGTAAAATACTTTATAATGATCAAAATTTTAGTAAAATCTCACCAAAGTTATAGTAAAGACTCAAAAAACGAAATGTTAGAGATCTCAGCAAAACTTAAGTGAAAACTTTGGCTTCATTGTTTGTGAAACCTCAACAGAATTTCAGTGAAAATCTTGGTCAGAGCTCTGTGAAGTCTCACATATATTTTAGTGAAATTAATTGAGGAATCATGAAAATAACAATGAAAGGTTTGGTCAAAATATTTGTGAAATCTCACCAAACTCTAGGTGAAATAGAAAATACTTAAATGATGTAATCACGGATTAGGTTTTGTTTGCAAGAAAGAAATGAGGACAAGAAATATCTAAATCTTATTTAATAATTTGTCAAAATAAAATTTATGATCCATTGGTTAATTATAATTATTGGGAATGTTATCATTTATTCCCAATAATGTCTTAGAATCATTAGGAAGATCAAGAGAAATCTGAAGTAGATTTTTTTTATTGGATGAAATTTATGTAGATATATTAGGCAACCTGTTTCTAGACAGAAACCTTAGGCAGCTTTTTATGTCAGGTCGAAGTTTCAGGCAGGGTTGTTTTTCAGGTGGAATTTTATTTCAGGTGGAAATCTTTGAAGAATTTTTTTTTGTTGTTTATGCGGAATCTTAGGACCACTGATTTGCATATTTCACCTAAAATAATAACTAAAATGAACCTAAAGTCTGCAAGGTGGAATAACATTTTATTTTCATTACTGGATGGGTTTCTGCAGGTATTTCTAATTAGGCAGAGGAAAAGATTCTGCCTATTATATTCCACCCTGAATCTGCATTAAAGTGATAATGAAGGGAATTTAGGCTAAATAAGCAGAATAAACAATTTCCACTTAGTGGACAGACCACACAGATTCCTCCTAATAATAGAAGGACCAATTTTCATATTTTGGGCTATATTCCACCCTTAATCCAACTAAAATTTATAATAATTGGAGTCCATGGCTTTAGGTGACATCCGATTTCAAATTCCACTTGGAATCTGCATAAAAGTCAGGGTGGAAGATTTTGTATGGGATATCAACATACCAGGCAATGATAAGGCCATCTTAGCAGCAAAATCCAAACTCAATGACCCTATTCCCAAGCATATCGAGTTCAGCATCCCAGTGATATACAGCATGATTTCCAAAGCAATCACGTCAAAATGGCAAACTGAATGGGATGCATGCCCCAAAGGCCGTACACTGTACTTGATACAAAAAACAGTGAGTTAGAAGACCAAAGCCCCACTAACAATCAACAAACGTAATCAAGGAGTCATTAATACTGTATGATCGAAATTGGCAAAACCCTACTAGCAGGCAGTATGGAGAAATACATCCAACTCAATATATAAAGAGGAGCTGGTTGCCCTCACTGCCCAACTAACTGAGGATATCCAGCATGTATTCAATGATTGTCCCAAATACAAATTACCAAAGGAAAAACTAATTGGTTCTCTCAAAGAGATTAGCTCTCCCTTCACATATTAGGAAATTCTATCCAAGAGCAATCCAAACCCAAAGCTTACAAACAAATTTATATTGATTTTTATCAAAGAGATAGATAAAATAGGAAAATCTAAAACTATCTCAGACAATACACAATAGACAATACAATTTAATATGTACAATACCATTTTTATGATTCAATGATAAATGCATAATTCGAGAGGAAATCGCACCTGGGGGAGGATCGTGTGACTTATGCCGCTTCCATACAGGCGCTTAGATTAGTCTAGATGTATGATTTTCACAAGAGGAGGGGAGATTGGTGTGGATGTGGCATACAGATTATCACCCCAGTACAGTAGGGGTGGTGTAGCCTGTGCACAGACCGATGCCGCACCTGCACTTAATACCTACTATGTTACTGCGGAGGGCGTAGGGGACATGATTTGTCAAGCAATGCAATAAGCGATAAGTAACTTAAAGCAATGTGGTAGTAACCAGACACTGTAGTACCCATCCATATATATCAATTGTATAAATTGTATAATTGATTTGAATCTGGCAACCACAATACTATCATATTCATCTCAATAATGATTTCAGGATTGAACTTGAAGTCACACACAAAAGGATTGTGGGGCTGGTGGCTCTTCCATAAGGGCAACTGTGGTTCACTAGACGCTTTTATGAATTTTGCTGGGGAGGGGAAGTGTATGCAGAGGTGGCATAAGGATTAGTACCCAGGTAGGGGTAGTCCAGCCTGTGGGTGGTCTGATGCTACACCTGCACTCATCACCAACCATGGTACTACATGGACATCAGATATATGATTCATTACGCAATGCAAAATGTTTACAGGTATCAAACTGTAGGTAACCCACCAATCCAAATCTTTCCAAAACACAAATAATACCAATCTTTTTCCTTTTCTCTTCTACATCTCATAACACAGTGGATCAATAAAAAAAACTATTACTGGTAATCAAACTGATCCATAAACCTAGTCATTATAAGGTGGCTAAACCCCAGCCGTAAGGACCAGCTGGACATTGCAGCAACAATTCGGCAAAAAACATTTAAGTATAACATAGGATTTCAAATTATCCTTATAAGGTGTCTAAAAATCCAAGCCATCAGGTCCAGCCACAGAATGAGGCAACTAAACTAGTAGATTAAGACTTGTGACCCAAAATTAACTCTGTAAGGTGGCTAAATCCCAAAACCATCAAGCCCAGCCACACAATGAGGCAACTAAACTAGATGGTCAATATATATGACACAAAATTATATAAGGTGGCTAAACCCAGCCATCAGTTCACCGCACAATTCAGAAAAGGTTAAACTTAATTAATAAAGATTGTAGGTAAATCCACTGCACCATTCTAATATCAACAGCACAAATATTTTTTTTTTCGAAATCTAAATAAGATGCCACCATTTAATATTCAGAAAATGTAGGCTGGAGCCTATGTTGTGGAAAGGCTTGAACATTTACCAAAGACTTTGTGACAAGTCGATTGACCAGCCTGAAAGTAGCCAGGGATCAAGTGAAAGGCATGATAAAGAAGGAAGTGGAGAAATTAAGAGGCTTTCTCAAGTCTAAGTATGTTAGAGTGGGAACATTTGAAGCAGGCTCTTGATTATCAAAATGTGATCAAGTGAGGTAATTTTTACAAGACATAAAATTTCAGTGGTCTTTTGTGAAGTGGGCAATATACTAATTAAAAAGAGCAGAAGAAATGATGAGAAAGGTACTGGAAGAGGAGGTGAAGAAGATAAAAGATAACTGGACTAAGAGAAAGGACAAAGAAAACAGAAGGAAAAAAAAGAGGAATTTGAGAGACTTAACGAAAACTGGATAAAGATACAAGAAAAATTTAGATCAAGGGGACATCCTGACTGGATACCAGACCATGAAAAGAAGAAATGAATCATAGAGAAAGTCAGGAGATGGTGAAAGAACCCAAAGACCCTTTTCAGGGCCATTCCGTTGCCGCAAAAATATTTCCTCTCTCTTGTCTAACAATTATTTAGGTGATTTTATATTTTATGTGACAGATTTTTATTCATAAGTATATGGTTGTGTTCTATATCTATGCCTATATCTATCTATTGATATGACCCACCACTATAAAATATTGTCCCTATATTGTCCAGGAGGTCTTGTAATGTTCATTCCCATTGTCTCTATCTATCTTTGCCCTATATCATCCCAGAGTGTTTTTCCTTCTTTGGCCCCATATGCCGCTCATCGACTCCATATACTGCTGCACAGTTTTTCAAGTGAAATAAATCCTTGTAACTGTTTTGTGTTGCATTAGTGTACAGTACAATGGAAGGTTTAAAGACATCTACATGGGCTAATTGAAAACGTAAGTTAGAAAATGCCCACCCACCCCCACTTGAAGAAGATAAACGTTTGCAAATCAATACAAAGTACAGCAGTTTAAAACATAAATGGTATAGCTGTTATGTTTCAGCTAAAGACATGTCAAGAAAAAGATATTGGTGACAAATAAAAAGCACACATTTAGTTGCTATTTAAACTGAATTCATTCAAAAAAGGCAAGATTTTATCCCATGGACTCATAGCATCATACGGTTTTTGTACCAAATTCATATAAAAATATTTGTCTCAAAGGATATAAGTCACTAAACTCCACTGTCAGTGGACACTGGCATGGTATGCTATCTGTTAGAGGGTGACCATTTAGGAGGTTTGCATGAGCCAGGCAAGAGTGTCTGATTGGCACAATACCATATCAGCTCTGTGATTTGTTCTCTTAACCATGATGCCAATCCCCAATAGTTGGATTGATGTTCTTGAGTTTATGGAATTCTTATAATGTATTTTATCAAGAATAAAGAACATGCTGATTGATATAATATTTGAAGTTAGTACATGTATAAAGAATCATATTTTTGTAAATGGTTGACTGAAGGACAGGTCTGTCCTCTTCAATAGTCATTTCATTAACCATTAAACCAATATGACTAGGCAGCAAACAGTACATAAGAACTTTTACAGATTGTAAGAGTTAATAAATCATGTTTCAGTTTGTTCTTAGAAATGGTTTGTCAGATTTAAAGTTTTGCAATTTTTTTTTCAACTTGGAAACTGCATCTAAAAAAAATAAATTTGTTTTTGTGAGGTTTCTCAGTTTTTGTGCAGTTTTTTCAGTTCATAGATCTAGGCATGGACGTAATTTTTGCTGTAGAAATAGAGGCTT